AAGAAGGGTTTTTACCTAAGCTCTTTTTTAATGTACACTTACATGAATATGATAATCATTCAGTACCATGGTTCTGCCACAGTACAAAAAAAGTCTCAAGGAGGCCCTCGACAAAGAGGCCTATTAATTGATCCTATTATTGGCTGAAATACTCACTCATTTCTGGGACACATTCCATCTTGAAAAACTTTGTGGAGGGGAATAATAGTTTGACCGAGAAACACGTCCAGCCCGATCAGCACGCGATGCATCACGGTGAGCACCAGGTTGCTGCTCCCGGGCGGGTACGCGCTCATCCCACCCGCCTCCAGCAGCCCGGGCAGCAGCTCAAACGAGCATTCCTCGTGCCACTGCGGCTCCTCAGCCTTCTCCACCAGGCCGGTGGTGTACTTCTCCTTGCCGACCTGGATGATGGTGTAAACATAGCGGCTGCCTTGCTTGCCCTTCGTCCGCAGATTCCTCGCGCGAAGGACGGTCACGTTGACGTGCGTCGGGACCCATCTCTGATCATCGTCGTCCAGGCTAATCAGAGGCATCCCGTTGCAGTTGGAGACGCAGTTGTTTGGGATAATCCAGCAGAATGACACTTGCGCACTGGATAACTATGCACTGCCCGCGCCCTTGTCCCTGTCCGCCACCCGAAGTTGCAGTGAGAGAAATCGCTGCATTACCGTGCAGCTCAATTCAAAAAGACAATCACAACGGAAACGTTGATAATAAATATAAAATCCCTGGCGAGTCAAACTTCACATTTACCGTAGTGGGCGTTCTGGACCCTCGGCGTCACCACCACAACAGATTTTTGACAACTCACTGCACTGCTGCTGCTGCGCGGCCCGCCCTCCAACATTTAGTGGGGGCTCCGCAATAAAGTATGCAGCTGAATTAAAGAGAAAGGCAACTCAATTCCGTGCTGCTATAGTTCATATCAGAAGATAGTAAACAATCTAGCAGAGATCACTATAGTTTGAGCTCTACTTGGACTGGGAATCGGGAGCACGCTGTAATGAGTGTGGGAAAACTTATCCATGCTGAAGCTGTTTGTTTGGTGAACGAGTTTTGAACGAATCCTTTAGGTCAGGGGTGCCCAAACTCGGTCCTGGAAGGCCGGTGTCCTGCAGAGTTTAGATCCAACCCTAATCAAACACACCTGAACCAGCTAATCACAGCTAAAAATGAAACTTCCCGGCAGGTGTGTTGAGGCAAGTTGGAGCTAAACTCTGCAGGACACCGGCCCTCCAGGACCGAGTTTGGGCACCCCTGCTTTAGGTGAACAAATCGGTTTGTTTGAACAACTCTTTTAACTGAATGAATCGTTCTCGTTTATTTTCATGCACTTCAAATGAGATGGTGCTCACTGCAGAACACAAGATCCAGGGGGCGTGGTTGGATCCTGATCCAACTCCTCCCACCTTACATATACCTAAACCTACCCTTCTCCACCCCCTGATCCCTAAACCCACCCATCTCCACCCCTAAACCTACAAATCTCCACCCCCTAGATGTGGATCCAACCACGTCCCCTGGATCTTGTGTTCTGCAGTGAGGGGCTACTGGCTTCAAATAGCATTCCAGTAGGACATGCGAAGGAGCACATTGGTTGGACTTCCTGAAAGAATAGGCCCCTTCACCGAACAGCTGTTTTGAGGATTGTGCTCCGGTGTCTCTTTACAACCAAAATGGACAAAATCAGTGGACGTTTAAAATGTTTTTCAACAGCTTTACCCGATTTGTTAATCATGTAGGCTCACCCTTATCCCACCTCTAAATTAGAGTAAATCGGGTAAAGCCTTTGAAAAGTTCTTGGTTATAATAACGTCCACTAGCTTTCTGCAGAGATTTATCATTGGGTTTTGAGTCTAATGAGATTTTTCAAGTAAATGAAGGATAGAGGAATCTGAACGAATTTAACTGGAATACCGATCGCCAAAACCTAGAGAGAGATTAAATGCAAGCAAACATTTCCGGTTGATTCGGTGCATTTTACTAAGCGGTTGTGTGAATGATTCAATGACTCGCTCGTTTGTACCGCTGTAACCTGCAAAAAGAGTCACTGAGTGAATCAGAATCGGATTTATTCTGCTAGTAAACCTATTCAAAAGATTCGAGTCAATGAATCAAAATCCCCATCACAGTGATGATAGTTCTCTCTCTGTGTGTGTGTGTGTGTGTGTGTGTGAGTACATGGGGTGGGGTATGATGCTATCTCTCTGCTTAACTGTCCCATGATGAAGATGATTTTTTCCGGCTAAACTAAATCTCTGTTTCAGCCACATATATTGCGCAATGCCTGGAAATGCCTGTGCATTACATAACATACTAAGTTGAAGATATAACTTTACTTAATTTACAATGGATGGTCATTAAACTGCTGAAAAACAACAAGAAGAACTTAAACTAAATTGGTTTGCCGGCTTTGGTCTCTCAGCTTGGTCCATCTGGTGTGCTGGCTGATTTTTAAAAGCGCTTTTCACTTTGAGCCCAATTTTGCAGTCTTGTTTATCATAAATAGGCTAACATGATGCATCCGAATGATTTCATAAAGTGTACGCACACTCACTCCACAGACATCTGCAATTATTCACACTGGCGTGAATTTGACAGCTTTTGTTTGGATTGGGTTCAAAAAGGAACGTTGCAATGGCTTTATTGTTGTCTACTGCCATCTATTGTTCAATGTTTAGAATTAATAGAGTAGCTACTATTGAAACACAACACAGACGGTATTGTCTGGATCAGTTATTTTGCTTCATTGTATTTTCTCTTTTTTGTCCACATTACATAAACGCATCTTCTGTTTGAAAAGAAAATATCATTAATAAGTAAGAGGAAAAACAGTCTCATCACTTTTGGTGGAGTTCACAGTGTTGACACGTTCTTTGAACAGACTAGAGGACTAACAATTTCACCATGGATTTGTACAATCACAACAGGCTACACATCACAACAACAGAGGCTTTTGTATGTCTGGTAGTAAAAGGCAACAGCAACTTGGTAACTTATTTTGAAGTCTTTATACCTCTCTGACACAACTTTATCAGCTGTTTAATGTTTGGGAATTGCTGACATTTAAACCTGAACATGAAGATGTGAACTTGGGCGAAACAGTAGCCTTTAGTAGCAGATGAATGAGGCCACAGATCTTCAGATATGAAACTCCCTTAATGATCACATGCTATGTGAAGAGGTTTAAATGTTAGGGATTCCCCACCATCAGACCTCTGATGAAGCGCCACGGAGAATGAATTCAAAATTAGTAGTTAAATGACATTAGACTGAATTCTACCAGACATTACACGATGACCTGGATGTATAAACATTTTCACAGACAGAGTCTAAGGCATTAAAGAAAGATGGTCCGTTTTCAAACACATTTTTCTTTTGTTTGAAAACCCAAACAGCCAGAGGCCACTAATGTAACAGGAACGCTAAGAGATAACAACAGTCTGAAATTGGCAGTATTTGTAGTTCTTAGTGGTAGATGGTGTCTCTTTTTAAGGCATTTCATTTAGTCTTTTATGCAGTCACACAGAATCATAATGTGGTAGAATAAATGAAGTCCGGCTGATCCTTTAAACATGATCTTTGTGGTGCTTGACGAACTAGAATCAAGAACCAGCAACACAAATTACGAACAACATCGCCTCCTTATTGGATCAGATGAAAGATTAGGAAGCCACCCAACACATTATATTACAGACTTACTGTATCTCCACAGTCACAGACACGGACAAATTGTAGAGTTCAGTAAATCATCCTGCAACCACTATGAAACTGATTTCGCAACATTACAGTTTTTATAAACATCACAGATTATTCAACATCATATGATAAAATAGAGGGCAGCACTTTAAATTGAACCATATCAGAGAGAATAACAGAAAATCATATTAGCACCTCATTTGCAGGCTGTCTGTGTGAACATCTGACCAATCTGACACAAGAAAGGAAGCTCTCATTATTTACAATGCAGTAAAATGGATACATTCATGTTGCTCACATTCGATGGAATGAATTAGGAAATGGAGTGCATACTAAATCTGATATTGTGTAGAATTCAACCAACTCTGCTGCCTAGTGACCACTAACCGTTTAAGTTGAACAAAAAAAGCTTGGAAGAATCCCACATAATTTAGTGGGTAGGTGTGAATGCCCTGGAATGTTTTGACAGGAAGGAATAAGGATTATATTCATACACAAGCCACGTTAACATCATCTAAGTGCTGCAATTTCTGTATGAGCCGATCCGGAGGGCTCACTCCTCACCTTGATCCATGATTTGGACGTATTTTTCTTCTTTAGTCCCCCAAACCATTCTGCGAGCCCTTCAGATAGAGCTCATCCTGAGAGAGCTGCCCGTCATAGCTCTCCATGTATAAACTACCACTACTGCTGCTACCGCTGGCCAGGAAAGCGCCTACAGCCCGGCCCTGCCGCGCGTGCCCTACTGCATCGCTGAAGACTTTGTTTATCTGCTCCTCAGAGGGCATCCACCAGTCAGGATTAGAAGCACAGTGCATCCGGATAAACTCTGTGAGAGGGAACGCCACGGGACAGAGATGGATGAGGGAGATAGAATGTGTGAGTTGCTAAACTAAGTTTGCATAATTATCGCACTGATAATCTGATTACAATTAGATGCTAAAATCAAAAAAAGTGTAAGAAAGTTTTAGCTCACTACCTCTGAGACAAGTGACCTTGACGGGGTTGAGAGGTCTTCTCTCCGGCCCCGGCTCCGAAGAAATCTTTAATGCGCTTTAATGCATCAACATTTAAACAGACACTGCACTGAATATTGTACCAGAAAACAGGCAAATTCAATATGGAGAACTGAAACTTTACTGGGATGCTAAAAGATTGTTGCTTTTAGTTTTACGTAACAGTTCTTCAAAGTGATATTTTCATAACCTCAGATTAGACTTCTATTTGACTGACAGTTTCAGTTCTTTTTCCACTGGTAATAGTTTCTTGTGTAACCTGTGTCTCGGTGGTTTTCATGACTATTTTAACATCACTGAACGGTCTTTTGTCAGGCTCACCTCGGTAAGCTGCTCTTCAGGCTGGGGCTGCACAAATTGGTTGTAGTGCTGAAGAACAGTCTTAAAAAAGTCCAGAACATTCTGGCAAGGAGCTGTTAAAGGCAAAACCAGGAAAACTTGTTGGCTGATGAACTTTTAGTTTTATTTAAACCAACCAAGCTGTTGTACATAAGCAAAATACAATGTACTGTTAAGAGTGCACAGAGTATTTTTTTCCAATTAAAGTTTTATACATTGTGAATGAATGCATACTACTCATTTTGATATTCTCTGTGGCCCAGAGAAAGCTATTGTAATCTTTAATATTTACTATTGTTTCCCCTCTATAGTGGCAAATACAAGATCAGCTAAATGTCTCGATAACCCTTTTTGGACACTTTCAGTTGTGGAATAAATTAATCATAGCTCACAAATACACTGTCAAAAGGGAATTTTCACAAAGCCTTCCAAAACTGAACTTTCAATAATTTCCACTGCAAAAGTCAGACATGTGATCAGCTAAGGACAAAAAAAAAAAAAAAAAGACTATACAATAATAATATTCAAAAATGATATTTTTTATTTTATTATATAAATTATAAAAAATAAACATTTAAAAAGACAAGTATTAGTATTGCAATAATATTATACTGAATAATATAGTATTTAATAATTATTTTATTTTACAGAACAACAGTAAAATTACAGTACTTATATTTGTCTTAATTTCTCTGCTTTCAAACATTACACTACAGACCTTTATTTTGGTGGCAAACAGCCGGGAGACTTTAGAATTTCTCTTTTGTTGACAACAGATTTTTAAACGATTCTCTTTAGAAATTTGTGTAATGAGAATTTTCTGTGTCTCCAGCAAGTTCAACAAATATTTAGTGAACAGAATGAACCCCTTTTAATTACACTGTGCACCTTTAAAAGCTTAGGATAGTAATAATGATTCTGTGGGGAAAAAAAAAATCTTACAGTGGATTATGTGTCTAATATCAAGACAGAAATAAAACCAAATTATCAAATTTCATCAAGTTTAATACCTGGTATATTGTCCAGTTTTTGTCTCAGTTCCTCGGTTTCCTGCTGTAGACTAAGAACTTCCTGTTCCAGCTCCATACAGCGTGGACAACAACCTTCCTCCTCATCTTCCTCAGGCAGTGTGGACGAGGGGTGTCCGTATGATTCAGACGGTGCTGGTGAAGCCCAGCCACCTAAGATCTGCCTCGGGGACCCTGATGCTGCCGGTTCAGCCTCTACCGGGCGACTCCGTTCACTGTCTGATGACTGGGGTCCAGAGAGCAGGTAGTTCTGAAGCGACTCTGTGAAAATCTGGAGGAAAGCGGAAGTCTGCTGCTGGCTCCAGTGGTTGCCCCGTTGGCTCTCCTCACCTGTGTTCTCCAGGGATGAGTCCTCTGATCTGGGCTTAGAACTGAGCCTCTCTCCTGGAGACAGGCAGCTGTCCTCCTGTTTTATAAGAGAGGAGATGGAAGAGGATGGAGGGACGAGAGAAGGCTGGGGCTCAAGGAGCCGTCCGTTGCTGTTGAGGAGGCTGAGTACTCGACTGCACTGCTGGGCAAAAGCATCCAATATGAGCCGGTTTTCTGAGGGGAGATCAAAATCACACATAAGTACGCAAGTATTGCAGCATCAGATTTCTTAGTTAAATTTTTCGTATTCAAAGAAACAGTTAAACCGTTACTGAAATTTGAAATGAAACTCATTTTACTCAGTATAATGTATTTTAAAACCTGCATGACTAGTCAAAAAGAGATATTTACAGTAGAACTTTTCTATACTACCACAGGTATCAAGCAATTTTCAAGGCAAATTTTTCCATTTTAATTTTTTACAATGCTTTTTCAGTGCTATTTTATACTTTTTGTAACTTGGATATTCTGCTAAATGTCTCCTTTGGTGCTTTAGAGAAGAAAGAATATAATATTAATATAATATCCCTTAACATTTCTTCCTCAATATTTATGTGTATTTTTGGCCTTTTTTTACTATTCTGTTTAAATAAAACAATCTAATAATTACTAAAAACATTTAATTTATTATTTCAATTTAGCCTAATTTGACAACAGCATTGCTTTTGACCTTTATGAGCTCGATTTTTGCTTTTTTGTTACGTCCTTCATGTCCTCCGTTTGCACTTTCCATCATTTTTATCTTTAAATCTGCAACTAGGTCCTGCATGCCTACAGATTTAGGAGATAGAGATAAGGATGCTGTGATACACAACTCATTTACATGGTGTCACTGTTCTAATAAACACTATTCATATCTTCCAAATACTCTAAATATGATGAGAAGAAGCAGAGAGATTAATAAAAGGAAAATGCTGACCAACCAACCGCATACAATTACTCTGTCTCCCCACAGCCTTCTGGCCACGCCCAGATGCAGAATCGTAAGAGGATGATTATGAATTTGCCAACCTCACACAAAGACACAGGGCAGACAATTATCAGCTCTGGCAGTCGCTGTGGCACCCGCATGAGTGACGGGGCGCGAGCTTCTGCCATCGCCTGGATGTGTCTATCAGGCTTAAGCAGATGTGGCCATTTATTAACATGCGCAGCATCTCTGTTTACCCCCAGCAAGATGGATTTGATATCATTCTCCTCTATCTTACCCTCTCCATCCTCCTTTGCTGCTATCGTTCTCTCTTTCCTTTCACTTCCCCCCTCTCCTTCTCTCCCTCCCACTTTTTCTCCCTCCGTTATGCCATGCAGAGTGAGTCTCGTGAAATTTCATTAAACACAGCATGTGCCGCAGAGCCAAATTTATGAGCCACATTTGTTTTAATCACAATCCTTTTCGAGGAGCTTTTAAATGCAATTTGGATTATTGCACTGATCTCAGAACTGTGTCCTTGGGTGTCTACGGCTCTTTCCCCCAGGGCTAGAAAGATGAAACCATTAGCATTGTCTGATTGGCCAAAAAAATCCCCCATGTATTCTTTTGCAGTGGATATTCCATAACAATAAACCAAAAATGGCTTGGTATGAAATTAGAATGCACTGTTTACAAACAGGCACTGTGAACTCTACTGCGTCACCAACAAGTGCAATTAATATTTAGTAAACAGCCTGAAGCCCTTTTAATGATGCCCAGGTGTATTTCAAAATGGACTCTGCATGTTAAACGCTACATCAAAAAACAAAAAGGTTGCAAGGTTGAACTTAAACCTTCCTATATCTAATCTAATAACTCACGTGGAGAAAGTCAGATAAGCTGAATGTTTGTACAGACACTGAGGCACCTTGTTGTATGATAATGACACAACTTCTCAATCTGTGAAGGCCTGAGGCTCTGCTGGATAAAAACTCTTGCAACAGGCACATGAGAAACAATTACTGAAGTCGACAGGTTTAGGTAAATCAGAGAGCTGGTGAGAAAAACAAGATGCTTTTCACAAATTCATGCTGGGAGCATCTTAATGCAGCATGTAAAGAAATCTGACAGTACTTGGTGAGACTTTCATATCTGTGTTTTTTTGTTTTTGTTCTGTCACTGTCATTCTGTTACACTGTGGAAGCTTCTGTCACGAAAACAAATTCCTCGTATGTGTAAACATACCTGGCAATAAAGCTCATTCTGATTCTGATTCTGATTTTTATGATAGATAATCTCAGTGTTCACATTTCATTGTAAAACTTCATTACTGATACTCATGACATATTTCTCTTTTTTTGGCAATATGAGAGATTTGAGAGCCTTTTAGAAATGACCTAAGCAGGAGTGTCGACCACTGTCCCAGCAACCAATAGCCGTCATTTCACCGTCTCGGTTAACTATAGACCCGATATAGTCCGGTTATGTGTAACCCACTTCTAGCTCAAATAACCTTGAATTTGGTTTCATGCCTTTTTTTGGCAAAATAACTTGTGAGATGTATGATATTCCATCATGTAAGCAAAGTAAACAGCGTTTACAAGGTGTTTGGTTTCATTTCTTTGACATGTTCAATACGTAGCCCGAGCGTAGCCATGATTTAGCTCGTAGTCAGACTGGCTATTTGTAGCCCACTTTTAGTCAAACCTGATTCACTGTAGTTCTCCAAGTAGGTATAACTGCAGACCGGAGATCTCCAAAATGGAGCGTGAACTCCAAAAGTGGGCAGAACCTCTAAAATGGGGCGGGGTCTTTCACCATTGGCTCTAGCTTCAGCCAATTGTTATTGACTTACATTTCAAAATAAAACTTTTTAAGTTAAACATCGTTTCTAGTTGATCTAAAGTAAAATATGTTATATAAATAAATATTCTCCGTGAGATCAGAGCCCAAAGCTCGTGGCCAGTGGTGTTTGGACTGGAGTTTGAACCTCTGCTTAATGATATTAACGGGAATCACCCACAAGCTCTCCCGCGAGCCGTCCCGGCGCAGCGCAGGGGAAAGATTTTACTCTATTGCTTTGTTTTAAGCAACGGGGGCGTCCCGGGGCTCGAAATTCGCAGGGTAGGAGGGGGTATTGATGCTGGGTGCAACTAAAAAGGTGCCATTGTCCGGTGAGGTCCGGTTGGGGAGTTACGGAACAATTCATATTGCATAATCTTATTAACTGTTTATCTCCTGAACTGTATCTTTGTTTACCACGCTATTGAGCGCCAATCCCACTGTGCAGTCAATTTCACTGGTTAAGGTTAGGGTCAGGTGTGGGGTAGGGTTTAGGGTTTAGCATTTTTTGTAGTATAGTGTAGGAAATCAACACTTTAATTGACACAACCAATAAAATCTTTGTGGGGTGGAGTTTGCACTGAAGTGGATTGGGGGAAAAAATGTGTCATGTGCCTGTCTGTCAATGGGAGGAAGCCACGCCCTAGCTAGATTTTTTTTCTTTTAAATATCTTAAGTTATTTAAAATATTTTATTTTTTTCATTTTTTATATTTTTATTATCTTAAGTTGTTAAAAATGTATAATAATCATATTATTTATATTTAAGTGTATTGTATTTATAATGCTTTATTTAGTCATTAATTCTTTTGTATTTTTATAATTTTGTATTGTCTTAAGTTGTTAAAAACATTTTTTTTCTTAATAAAAGCTGTATATTTAATTTGTTTGGATGGATTGTCATTTTTTTTGTCTATTAGATGTATATATGGAGGCATTCATTAGCTGTCTATTTAATGACTAGTCTATTCTTGGGCTATGGTTAGACGTCTATTAAATTTTCATTGACGGCCCAAATTCAGCCTTGTTTTAGCCTAGACCCATATTCACTGTCAGACGTATATATGTAGACGTTTAATAGCGGTCTAATTGATGGCTAGTCTATTCTTGGGCTATAATTAGACGTCTATAAAATTTTCCTTGACAGCCCAAATTTAGCCTTGTTTTAGCCTAGACCCATATTCACTGTCTATTAGACGTATATATGTAGTCGTTTAATAGCGGTCTAATTGATGGCTAGTCTATTCTTGGGCTATAATTAGAGTATATTAAATTTTCACTGACAGCCCAAATTCAGCCTCGTTTTAGCCTAGACGTCTGGGCTGTGTTTGGACGGCTAATAGACGTCTTTTAAACTGAAAATTGCTTGCTGACGTGTTAGTAACAAAGATGTAAAACAAGATTTTGGTAAATATACCACAAATATACCATAGACTCACAATGTCATCTGAATATAACAGATACAGAACATTTTATTGCAGGGGTGTTATTAATTTATTAAGCCGCTGTTGTTGTTATTTTTTTCCTCTCATTATTTTCGGGTAAAAACTGATGTGAAGTTAAACATGTCGCATCATTGGGCGTGGGTCCCAAATTGTGGCTGTATACGAGTCTAAAAATGATTGCAATGTTCGTAAAAAAACACACCCCAAAAGTTAGACACTTCAAGTCTTCAGCTTCGTGACGAATAAAAGTTTCTGAGGCAAACTTGTTCACTTACCTGAGCTTATTCCATAGGTGCAGTCTGGAGACTGGTGGCTGAGCTCGGCGCGACCCGCCGGGTATCTGCCGGGCTCCTGGCCGGCGACCCTCCTCTGGTTGCCAAATGATGTCGCCGCCGCGGCGCTCCCCGCTGATGCCGCGCTGGATGTCGCGACTCTGCTGCTGGGCCTGATTTCGCAGGGGAGACGGTGCTGCTGGCTGCTGCTGATGGAGAGGGACGCTGGCGGAAGCGGCACGCGCTGTGAATACTGCTGCTGCTGACCGAGATGATGAGGATGGTCTCCGAGCTGCGGGATGTTCACCATTGTGGGTCTGTCATATCTCGCCTTGCCCGCCGCGCGCTTGCTCGGGAAGGTCTTGAGGGAGCTGTACGGACTCCGCTGCTGCTGCTGCTGCCTGCAGATTTTGGGCGCAGAGAGACCTTCGTCTGCAGGTAGCATCTCCTCCTCCATCTCCCTCGGACTTGAGTGTCGTTCTGTCCCGGTCTGGTTAAATCAGTTATGCCAGTGTCTCGCCGCCTTGCTCTGTGTCTCAAACAATTCTAACTGCATCCTGAGAGCGGCTCCCTGATGCGCCAAACTTATATACAATATTAGAATGTTTAAAAGAGTGGACACGAAAATCGCGGGAGCGAAACAATTATACACCTGCTCTGATGGCAGTAGCTTCCGTTAACTAAGAAAAGAATATATCGATTAGCAATAGATTATAAATTAGGGTGACCATACGTCCTCTTTTCCCCGGACATGTCCTCTTTTTGGACCTACAAAAATGCGTCAGGCCGGCATTTCTTAATTGGCCAAAATGTCCGGGATTCGGCTGTTTTCTTAACCCCGCTCCCGCTGAATCTCTGACCATTGCCGCCTGCTCGCGCAACATTACTGCATTCACGCGCTCCTCGAATGCTCTCATTTCCCGAGTTGTGCTTTTAAGTCGGAATGTGAAAACAACATGGACACTCGTTACAACAAAGATGAGTTGGATTTGTATTATTAGACCTTTCCGACTTGAGTTCACCTGCAT